ATTTGTATGAACATCCCCTCTTCTGCTCTAGTGGATGGATGGAAGATCAAAGAAGCAGCTGAACCTAAACAGAGCTTCCCCCACCCCTCACCTCTCCCTCCATAATTTTCATTGAGAATCAATTGTTTTGCTAGGGTTCCTTGATTCTATACTCATTCAAATGTAGACTTCATGTCAAGGGCAGCCACTCTCACCTCACCTCTGGCATTTTGCTGTTTTGTCCATGTTTGGACCAAGGCTGTATTGAGTTCATAGAACCTAAACTGTGCATCAGTGAATAGATTACCACTTTGCAAGTGCTGCTCGATAGCACTGTCAAATTACACCTTCCATCACTTCGCTGATGATTTAGATTAGACTGATAAATTCAACACGGCCAAGTTATCCTGATTGGTGTGTATGCAGGATGTATCTAAGCAATTTTCCACATTGTTGAATAGATACCAGGTTGTAGCAGTACTGGAACAGCTTGGATAGGGACATGGCTAGTTCTTAACAAGTCTTCAGTACCATTGCCAGAATTTTGACAAGACCCATATCATTGGCAGTATCCAGTGTCTTCAGCTGCTTAATATCACGTGGCATGAACTGAACTGGTTGAAGACTAGCATCTGTGATGCTATAAACCTCAGCAGGAGGCAGAGATGGTGTATCCACTTGCCACTTACAGCTGAAGCTGGATGCAAATGCTTTGATCTTGTCATTTGCACTAATGTGCTGGGGTCCTCCATCATTGATCATGGGGATATTTGTAAGCTTCCTCCTCCAGTGAGTTGCTTAATTGATGTGGCAATACTGCAGATATTAGTTCTGATCTGTTGGCTGTAGGATCACATAGCTGTGTCTGCTGTGTCTTGCTTCCACTGTTTGGCACGTAAATAGTCCTGTGTTGCAGCTTCACCAAGTTGACACCATTTTTAGGTATGCTTTTTTCTGTTTCTAGCATGCCCTCCTGTATTCTTCACTGACCCAGGCTTCAGCCACTGGCATAATGGTAGAATGGGCAATATGCTGGGTCATGATGTTACAAATTGGGACTGAAAACAATATTGCTATGTTAGCCTGCAGCCCATGGATGCCCATTTTTGAATTGGTTTTGATCCATTCAAAGTCTGTTCCTATTTATCAAGGTGGTAGTGTCAAAAACACAATGGACGGTGCCCTCCATATGGAGATGAGACTTTGTTTCCACAATAACTGTGTGATGGTCGTTCCAACCAATACTGTGCTGGACATGGCTCAGTCAACTCTGTAAGAAGTGGTGCCACTGAGCGAATCTTGATCATGGACACTGAAGTCCCCAATCCAGAGTACATTTTATGCCCTTGTCCTACAGGTTCTCCTTCCAATTGGTATTCAATATGGAATACTAATTCAACTGAGGGAAGCAGTAGGTGGTAATCAGCGAGAGGTTTACTTGCCCATGTTTGACCGGATGCCTTGAGACTTCATGGAATCTAGAGCTAATGTTGAACACTCCTGGGGCAACTTCTTGACAATATACCACTGTGCCATAATCTTTGATGGGTCTCTAAGGGTCTTGAGTGGATTTGTAGCTCAGGTTGTGGATGCTGTGGTTGGTTCATTCGCCGAGCTGATCCGTTAGTTCGCATTAATAGACCAGCTCTGGTGGGTCTGTCCTGCCAATAAGACAGAGCATACCCAGCGATGGTGATGGTAGTGTCTGAGACAGTCATATTCACAGAGTCATACCTTATAAATAATGTCAGGCTGTTGCTTGAAAAGTAACAGACAGCTCTCCTAATGTTGCTATATGTTGGTCAGGAGAACTTTGCAGAGTCACTAGAGTTGTGTTTGCCATTGCTTCTGGGGTTGAGGATAATGCTAGGTGGTCTTTCCAGTTTTGTTTCCTGTCATAGACATTTCAACAGTTTAATACAACGGAGTGCCTTACTAAGTCATTTCAGCAGATAGCTAAGAGTCCACCGCATTGTTGTTGGTCTGGAGTCACACGTAATCTCACCAGATAAGGATAGCAAAAGTTCCTTCCCTTGAAGAGCATTAGTGAAACAAATGGTTTTATGACAATCGACACTCACTATTAGACTAGCTTTTAACTGCAGATTTCATTGAATTTAAAAGCACCCTCTTCCATGGCAGAATTTGAATCCATGCCCCAGAACCATTAGCCTGTGTTCTAGATTACTAGTCCAGTGACTTTATCATTAAACCACCACCTATCCCCAATCTGTATAAAGCTGTTCCTCATTGTATCACAAAAGCTCTAAACATGCATCCTAATGTGTTGATGAGGTGGTATTGTGGTGCAATGGTAGCATATCCATGCCTCTGGACCAGATGTTTTGAGTTCAAGTCCCATGCCAGGACTTGTTAACCATGAAAGATACGATTGGAACATAGCCAAATAGACTGATTATCAGCCTGTAAATCCTTCCAATATGTCTGTTGGCAGGTAGTAAGAGCTGCGTGTTTCCTGGTCAGTCAAACTGCAGGAGGCAATGGTAAACCAGTGCAGGACATTGTCCATAAATGTGGACCAATCCAATGGAAATTCATGGCTCAATCCTTGGAAATGGGGATCCAGAGTAAAAGGCAGACAACTGTAGTGCTAAGCCAGAGAAGATAGGAAGGTCACCAGCTCAGTCACTGGAATGTATTAGTTGTTAACAGAGCATTAGAAAAATATAACATTCGTTCATGTGATGCTGAATCCCAAAAGGGGAAAAAAATCCAGAAATTGCTGGAAAAACTCAGGTCTGGCAGCATCTGCGGAGAGAATGCAGAGTTAACGTTTTGGGTCCAGTGATCCTTCTTCAGCACCTATTGTAACTAGGAAAAAGTGGTATATATGCTGGATACAGGGGGTGGAGAGAATAAAGAGTAAAATCTTCGTGGAGATGGAGCCCAGGGCGAGACAGACAGAGAACGACAGTTGAGCAGACAAAGAGATGGATAATAATGAGCCGGGGTGAAAGAAAAGCTGCCTAATTGGGAGCATTTATGGATGGGAACCCGGCATTCTTCAGGACTCAATATCGGGTTCAATAATTTTAGAGCCGAAACACCACCTTTCATGTGCTTTACCATCCCGCCGGCCCCGTCACCACATGGGTTCCTTTCATCATTACCAACCCATTTTCACCCACTAAAGGTCCCGATTAACAGCTTTTCTTTCTCCCCGGCTCACCATTATCCATCCCTTTGTCTGCCCAACTGTCCTTCTCTCTTTGTCTTGGCTCCATCGTCATCTATCCTTTACTCCTTTATCCCAACTCCCAACCCCCTCCCCCAAAACTCCTTCATCAGCATCCCTGTCCTAGTTGCAATCAGTTCTGAAGAAGCGTTACTGGATTGGAAACGTGGACTCTGTCTTCTTTCCACACATGCTGTCAGACCTGTTGAGTTTCTCCAGCAATTTCTATTTTTGTTTAAGATTTCTAGCATCCGCAGTTTTTTGCTTTCTTTTCCCCTATCCACTTCAGGAAACATAAACAGCTTCTGCTAGGCATTTTCATTATATTCTGCCCAGATAAGAATTCACATTTTCAAACTTGAGAATTCAAATCAACTACTGCGCGGCGAATCTATCTATACACCAGTGACGAAGGAGAGGTTGATGTTCTTAGGTCTCAACTATTATGGATCGTAACCTTGATTCTAAAAGAGGGGGCGAAAAAAATTACTGCCACTATTTACTTCTGGAAATTGGGATCTTGAACATTCATATAAAAAGAAAATGTTTTGGAGACATTGTACAAGTACACCGTACTAAAACAAACGCCATACTAACAGATATAAAACGTTTACATCAATTTGCGATATATTTGACGATGTCAGTCGGTCGTGGTCTTTTGCTCAAAGATCGCCTGGAATGTGCAGTGCTGCCCTGTTGCACCGACATCTCCAAGCCATGTAATGTCGGTTGCGACACTGCTCAGAGAAAAGGAAATCGTGTGGAGTTCCCATAGTGAAGTTGTAAGTTGCTTGCATTACAATGAGTACACAACATAAAAAATTAGGCCATCATTTCGTTTTGCGAGAAAGGAAAAGTAACTATCAGGCAGCTGTCTTATGTTGAAGGCTGGGTTTTGTTTTTTGTCTCGGTACGGTACGCGCATACAATCAACGGTCAAAAAGAAAAATCTTGCTCAGCGATCTGGCCAGCCTGTGATTCACTCGGCCTGCGTGTAGCTCTGCCAGTCAGCCTTCCCTCTCCGGCACACGCACGGCCTGTGTAAGGTAGCAGCACCTCTCGGTGTGATCTGCCTCGGGCATATTTCACACATGGGGTACTGTCTGACAGAACACAAATGCTGTAGGCTCTCTCACAAGCAACAGCAACATGTAATATTAAAATGTCTTCACAACATAGCCACCGAGCTCGCGGCGGATCAGGCTGACACTTTGAACAAAATCTAGTTAACTGCTCCGCTTTTTCCCGAACTCCAACACCTCGCCTCACAGCACTTGTGCTTGTCGGGGTTTGTGTTCTTTGATCCAAAATGAGCCACCCTCCCTTACACACACAACTAAGCTGAAATACACGCGGCTCGTTCTCAAAATATTTTAATTCAATAGTTAAACTTTAACCAATTGTATTGACCATTCCTGGGAATTTGCTTTCCAAATCTAAGACCGATATTGAGGGCGTTGATCTTCTGGGAAATAGAAATATTAAAATACCACTTCAGCCGGCCTATCCCAGTCCACACCAATACGGTTTAATTGGGAGAAACATTCCCAGTTGTGTGCAAGCGCTTGAACTGAGGACAGCATGCCTTCGCCATCGTTTAATGATCTGGAATTAGATGGGAATGTAGAAATGCCTATTTATTATCCCTGAGTATTGCAAGGCAATTTGGACCATATCCAGACATCCAAGCACCCTCAGGGACTCGGTGATCGAGGACTTCGTCCAGCTTCCAACCATCAATAGTGTCTACATCACACTTGACACGGTGTGCACACGTTTAAATCCATCAAATTGTTTGCAATAAAACGATACTGGATTGCACAGGTTACCGGATTATAAATTGTTTAATAGTCACGAATATAATTCAGTGGAATCAGCCCTCCTGTCTCCACCAGTCACTAAATTTTCCACCTCTTAAAAATAATGAAAGCGCCGCACAATTTATTAGGAGACTCACATCCACCAAAACCACTTTCGGGTTGTATATCGCGCGCATGATTTCGCCTGCAGGACTTCCCAGTTTGGTTTCCTCCCGAGTCTGGATACCCATTCACAGTGGCCAAAGACAGGCGATCAGTTAGGCCCCTTAAATTCCAGGAACTGTGATCAGTGCGGCATTGAGTACGCACAAAACCGCTTAGCTGCAAACAGTTAAAGATCTTTCCAGCTGGCAGGCGCTGATCGCGTGACACACGAGAATGAAAGAGACTTCCTTAAAAAAAAACGTTTCCTTTAGCTTATAAAACGCTTTAGTTGCATCAGTTTATCCGCGCTGTAGGGACTGGAGAGAAGCTTTATAGTAAGTTTACAGTTTCTAGTTTGAAACGTTTAAATGACAGTCAGTGGATGCCCCAAGCACAAAAGACAAACGTTGTAATTCACTCAGCTACTTGAAAGCCTATTCCTGGTCCACACATTCACACTGCACATATTACTCCCACACGGTCCACAACTTACACACACCAACAATGGCTTACCTTCACGCATCAGCTCTCATTCTGACTCATACACATCACATACAGCGATCCCGTCCCCCACCCCCGCAACTCTCGACACGACCCCACCAACTCGCTCGATTCATTTTCTGTCTCGACTTCCCTCTTGGTTAATGACTAACTTCCCTTCCACGGGCTTTTACAACCCAGAGCACTCTCACAAATAATCAGCCAGGACAGTGTGTCAGCAGGGCAGCAATACCACGGCCTAAATCTAATCTCTTCTCATTCAGCTTGAGCACAGAAAGCTTTAACCAACAATTCATTTTTAGAGCGCCTTCAAACGCTGATGAACCGACCCGAGACTCTTAACAGATGAGTCCCATCGCCAGGCCCAATTAAAGAGACATTAAACAGATCATGCAAGCTAGTCCATTGGGTTGATTTTAATGAGTGTCTTAAAGCAAGAGAGACGGAGAAGTGGGACGGCTGTATAAGAAAAATCCAGGGTTTAAGGCCTACATAGCTGAACGCACAACTAACAACGACAAAGTGGGGTTGTACGACTGACCAGAAATGGATGATGATAACATTCTCCGATAGTTGTCGGATGAGGCGCCCTAGAGCGATTTGAATGTGAATATGAATTTTAAAATTGAGGTCCGCAGACACTGGGGTGAGGGACTTTAAGAGTTACAAAAAGGCAAAAGAAAATCTTGAAACGGTTCATGTTTATGGAGCTAGAAGATTAAAAGGTGATCCAGGAGACTACTGGATAATACTCAAATCTGGAGGTAACTGATCCACGGTTGACAGTTACAAATGTGGGGTAGTGGGGTGTGATAGATGATCTACTTTTATTTAAATAATAAGGTAGAATGGTTAAGGAGAGAGCTATTAAGTCTGCATACTGGTTCATTGAGATCGCGGCCAGAGAAGAGGGAAAAAAATTGTTGGTTAGGTCACGGAGATTGAGACTGCTGCCCAAAGACAATGGCTTTGATCTTCTAAATGACGGTCATTTAGAGTCAGAGAAAGAGGGGGAGACAGAGAGACATGCTGGCAATGAAGAGGAGCTAGGTATTGATGACATCCTTGAATCTTCATATTCTCAAGGGGTGTGACTGAGGGGCAGCATGAAGATGGAAATTAGGCAAATAGTAAGGAGGGCTCCAGAGGTAATGGTGGATGGGCAGGAAGAGAATCTACTGCAGATGGTTCCATGGCTACACTGGATAGACAAGAATGGAATCAAGCAACAACAGCTCTACTCAGCAACAATACAGAGAAGACTAGTTGGATGCAATGGTGTGGTGAACACTGTCAAAAATTACAGACAGCAATAAAATAGATGGCATACCAAGGACACAGCCATTTAAAATGTGAAATAAAAACTGAAAATGCTGGACGAAGTCAGGTAAGGAGAAAAACAGAGTTAACAGTTCAGATTAATGATGACGCTTCATCAGAATTGTTATCTTTTGAGCTGTTTGAAATATTCAGCAAGGAACAGAGCAAGCCTGGAATCTTCTTGCTTTGTATGGCTCAATAGTCAACCTCTATGATGTATTCAACAATTGAAGCCCAATTGTGCATCCATGATGCTCAGAAATATGCTTGAAGCCAACCCAATGTAGATCACAGGCAGCTCTTTTACTCCACCCAACACAATATAATGCATATCTGGTTGTATTATTCCAATATTCCATCTCTGAACCCAAATTCCAAATCTTCCTTTCACACTTCTGATATTGATCACCTAACAATTATATTTGGTGGAGTGGGGATAACCATCTTCCCGCATTAACTGAAAAGTGAGGAGACTTCATATCCTTTCACGTGATTTGTGGCCAAACAATCCTTTCCCTTTACATTCCTGATAATCTTGTAGCTAATAAACAGGCTTTCAATGAAGTTTTTTTTTAAAAAAATGGTCAACTAATTTATTTTCTTACTGCAACAATATCCAGGATTTCTTTTCAATTCCTGAAGACCTAATAATTATCCTGATAGGGTGGAAACCCTGCAGGTGTCATCTCCGCTTGATTCAAGCACACAAGCAAACCCACATAAATTAATTAATTAGAACTCCCAGGCCAGATCAAGAATTTTATAAGAGGCTATTATTGCTGATCTCCACCAAGACACCTTTTTTGTTTCTCTTATCTGAACTGTTTTTAAACATTATTTGGATCATGTCTCCTTTTTTCACCCGCTGTTTCTCAGTATAACAACCGCTTTTAGAATAGCTTTGTTTGGCAGACAGATAAATCAGTTCAAAGTCCACTTGATTCATAAACTCTCACCAATTTACCAGATTTTTCACGCATGCCAATCTATTTAAATAACATGCTTTTGTTCGTTTAACACATAGTACCTTATAATCTTAATTACTCGCATGCTTATCATTTTTGCCCCTTAAACATTTTCTCATCTGTATGTCAACTGTTAAAGAGATAATTTTATGTCCGGTCCTACATGCAGGAATATGTTTCTCCCCCAATATCTTGCTCTGTTCACCCATACAAATAAGGTTTTAATACTAAAACGTTAAGTCCCATTTTTCTCAAAATATGTTGCCAGACTTGCTGAGTGTCTTTAGCTTTATCTGTTTCTGCACCGTCATAATAGTTGCTACAACTTGACTGATGAGTGCAGAACTGTACTGGGACTCTCCTTGGAAAGCTATCCAGCAACCCTAGGCGGACACCTATTTGGAGGGTTTTACCAACAATGAAGCCAAAGATTGTCAAAATGGGTCAGAGTTCTAACAGTCTGGTGGAGAGAAAAGCTTTTTGCCAACTTGTGTTACTTTTGTGTAGTTTTCTATAAAGATCCGAAGTCAATGCAATTTCATGCTCCATGTATATTGGTATGCATACCTCTCATAACACATGCATATTTCATCACAACTTACAACACACATCAAGTCATACTTGAAATCTCAACTTCATCCAACATGTAGATGCTTCACAGGGTAACATATACATTTATTTATTCAGAACAGGATATATTTTATCTGATGCCAAGTGTACAATTTCCACAAAAAATTTAAATGCTGTGAAGTATATCTAAACATAATGCACTTCACACTTTATTTTGGTTGAGTTCCAAGACAGTCACTCTTTATGAAAATGGGAGCAGAAGTATCTGTGTTTCACACACACAACAGTTCATAAACATTTACTACAACTGACTAAACAACTCGCAGTGGTCAGCACATAGTGCCCAAGACCCTGCAGGAAAAGGACAGGGTTAGTCCTGTCGCTTGATTCCATGAGCAGTTGCTAAAAGTGATTTGATAGGATGCCTCATTGCCAGAAATTTCCAACAAGTACCAAGACATAGCTTGGCTGTTAGTGAGAAGGATATTACCAGTCAGGTGTTTCATGAATGCCCAAACTCTGTACCACCACGTTGCCCTCGAGGCAGATGCGGGGTTGGGGTGTGGCGGGGAAGTTGGTGAAAGGCTGTCACATATCTTCTTTGCAAAGGAACAGTGAAGGAGGAGGTCTGGAGGGAGGAGCTGTGGTTTTTGTCAAAGTTCATCCTGAGTATCTCTGTGATATAGGACTCCATGTTCTACATTCTGTTCCTTTCCTCAGGATGCACACCGAGACAAATACTGACTGGGCCTGGAATACCATCAACTCAGTGAAAAACACTCTTTGGACTGCCTGAAACTTTTTGGTCGTCCAGTGTAAAGAGTTGACCTCAACTAAGTGTTGCAGACTGGCGCATTCCAAGCCCAGTTCTATGTGCCAAGGGATGCACTAAAGCTTGGGGCAGCTGCCACAAGGTGCAACTAGGAAAGACCATGGTCTAAAGTCTTTCTGTCAAAGTATAATGGGACTCCATTCAGTCATCAGATCCTATTGTTGCCTCAGAATGAATGTAAATAATATCCTGTAGGAGTAGAAAATGCTATTATTTGCAAGTGCAGGGAAGCTCTGAGGAATGTCAAATTCCAATGTTTATTTCCTTTGCAAAGATTGCACTGAACTGTATTAGTACCTTGTATATGTACATAAATAATTTATGTGTAAAGTATATTTTTACAATAAAAAATTCATAAATATCTTCTATCTTCCTGTTCTCTATCACAGAGTTCTTAGATGACAGTCAGTGGGAGAGTCTAGACAAACCTCTAACTCAAATGAGCTAACTAAGGCTGTCAAATTGTTCCAGACCAGACCAATAAACTCCTGAAGTTGGATATGGGTGTTGGATATGGGTGGGATTGGATTAAACCAGACTTGTTGGACGTGTAGAACAGTATGCTACAGGCTGACTGCATGTCATAATCCATGAGGAATGACAACACCACCCTCATCTACAAACAGTAGGGGGAGAAACTGGCAGCCCATTTCTCAGATATGATGGATTGAAGGCCTTGTTCCTGTGCTGTGCTGTTCTATTTGCAATGACAACATTCTGTCCAAGGTTATTCTCAATTGGGCCAATTCTGTTCCAGAGTTGGTGATTTACCGTGTTCAGACCTGCATGATCCATGGCAAGAAGATCTCCAATAGTCTTGCTTTACTCAGGGATGTGATCCCCAAAATGGGGTTTCAGGAGGGAATCTGCAGTCTGGTGGTGAGACGGGCTCGCATGGTCATAGTGCTCATGCACATCTGAGAGTCCAAGTGCCACTTACAGTGTCCTTCAAGTAGCTATTGTGGCAAGAGACTGCCACACATCTTCTTGTGGAATATGCTTTTGCAAGGAAGGTCTGAAAGGGCGACGAAGAGACTGTGTGCCTGTTTTTGTAAAAAAGTAAATGTCACACCTATTGGAACTGTCTTGCAAGAGCTCAGAGACCACCATACTCAGCGGGGAAAAGTTGAATAAAATTCATTTTCATAATGTCCAAGTTGAAACACTTCGGAAATTCTTATGAGATATTTTATGAATAAGGTATAGTTTGGGAAAAAAATCATATGGAGGAAAAAAAATCATATGGATGACAAATCAAATAAGCATGTGACTTTGTGAGGTCCATAAATGATCAAGTTACAGTAACATTACCCCTAAATGGCCTTTATTAGCTGCTGCACAGGCAAACGAGGTACTTTATTAAAGTACTGAATGTACACGCCAAACCACACAATGCCAGCCTATTGCATGTTGTATGCCAGCGTGAACCCATTCAAGCTACAGATGTCCATTGCAACTTTTTTCTAAGAAAAGAATGGGACATAATATCATCTTGGCTCAAAGCTTCAGTTTATCGTGCGATCAAACTGGAGTCCCCTTAGCAGGAGATAAAAATCAGCACTGCCACCCAACCTCCATCATAAGACAGACATGCTTCCTGCTGATTATAAACGCAAGCTATCTTTTATGACCTGCAATAAATCTACAGAGCACGCTTCATTAAAATACAGTAGAACATGCGGTTCCCATCAAGTCTGCTGCGCTACGTACAGTAAATAGCCAATTGGTGCAGCGTATTCTGCACGGTTTTCAGCTCATTCTCTCACAAACATTGGGACGTAGTGCTCAGAATGTTCGAGGTTATTCGACTCCCCAACCCTGTTCAAAACCCATCGCCACAAAGCCGCTTTACAAAGATGGAAGTAAATCGATATTATCTACTGAGCTAAACAACTCCGTTCCGTAGCACAAATGTATACTCTTCACACGAACCGAGTGTAAACCAGTTCAGGTACATTTAACCTA